TGCTATAACTAGGTCAGGGAACCTAAGTAGGTCAGGGTGACTCTCTAAACGTGGCAGATCTAGAAGCAAAGCTGGGGAGGGAAGACCTGTCTGTGTGTGTAAACAAAAGGTGGTAATCTGGGCCTAGGGGAAGGGATGATCTCAAAGTGAAGTGGTGAGAGCCTGAGAAATAACCTTGTGGGAACTGAGGAAGGAAAATGAGGCGTGGGGCAAGGAACAGGGACTGAGGGAGCAAGAAGGTTTGGGAATGAAGTACGAGCTGATGGGAGGAGTAGAGAAGAGAATGGGATTACAGCTGTAGATGTGAGGAGAGCAGAGAAAGGGATAAAGGGTTAGAGAGGGGCTAAAGCTGAGGAGGGGGAGAGAAAGGGATGTGTAGGTGGGAGCAGCTGAGAAGGACTGGGAAGGGGCTTGCATGGAGGACAGAAGGTGGCAAAAGGTGGTGAAAAGGCTGAGATGGTGAAGTGTATCTGAAAGGGAAAGAGTGTGAAGGGGACAGCAGGGATGATGTTTTTAACTACAGAGTGATCAAGGGAGAGAGAAACATGGTATTCATATAGCGTGAAGCTGCCAATCCCAGCAAAGCTGTGGTGAAGCTGTCATTGTGTGTCTTCCCTCCTCTCTGGGAAGGGTGAGTATTCTGAAGGCAAAATTACAAAAGAAAAGGGATCTGTGACTCTGCTTGTGCTCCTAAGTTGCACCTCATTCTGCAGGGACGTTGCTGACTTCATTTCAAAGCTCTGACTCCCATCCAAAGTTTGGTGTTCTTCTGCTGGAGTCATCAAAATCTGCTTCCCTCAAAAGCAAAGATGATGAAGCTGCAGCAATGGGAAAAGATGTTTACACCAAAGAGAAACCCCCAGGGTTTGAAAGTCAGTCATTCTTATGTGCCTTATTTTGTGTCTTTGTCACCCAATACCTTGCATGTTTGGGGTTGGCAGGTTGAAAATGATGCATGCTACCCTGTGGGACCCCTCAAACTAGTGTTCCATGAAAATATGGAGACTTCATCTCCCCATCTGCAGCATCTCTCTCCTTTTATCGCATTTTAAGTATGTTCATGGGTGCAAAATCAGTGCAACCATGCAGACTGCATCTGCTGTGGGAGGGCATTCTGGCTCTGTTTCACGCACTTGGGAATACTTTCTGAACTGAGTTGGACACTGCCTTGCATTGTACCTTGTGGTCTCTCGGGCAGCTTATGTCTGCATTCAGCCCTCCTGATAATGGTTATGCTGTCCTGTTACGGTGTTGTTCAGAGGACAGTTAAGGTGGCAGCCTGAAGGGAGGGCTGTCCTGTTTTGTTATTATTGTCATCCATGGCTGTAAGATCCTCCGGGGTAGCGTTGGCAGTGGGGCAACCAGAGCTGTTATCTGTGGCTCACGTATGGAGATCTGCTGCACTGGACCCCTTGTCAATGGTCCTTACTCCCATAGTTGCCTTATTAATACTGAAAGTAATTTTAGTTTTCTTCTTCCATGGAGGTTATTACTTTTGGCCTAGCTGCTTATCAAGTTTTACTGAGTTTAGCCTTTTCTATTTGTTTTAGATAGCAGTTACATGAAGCTCTACTGAAATTCGCCTCTTAGGGCTAAGAGCAGTGAATTTGGAGGAGATGGAAGAAGGCCAAAAAAAAATATTTGTTACAGAGGGGGTGAGTTTCCTAATGATACCACCCTGGTGAGCCTTCTTTCCCTTTTTCTTTAGCAGAGATGTTGCTGTGAAGGGGCTATGCAGCTTTGGTTCTAGCAGCCAAATCCACGGATCACCTTTGGACCATTGGCAGATCCATAAAGTTATCTGTGTATAGGCACTGTAAACAGATGTAATCAGTTGGAGTCAAGGCAGGAAAAGCTTTAGGGATATTGATTTGTTTGGTTTGTTTTTTTTAACCAAAATCTCTGTGTGGATCCAAGACCAAGACAAGGCAGCAGCATTTACTCTTTACTGGCAGTAAAGAGTTTTGACTATGCATAGTCTGCAATATTCCCACAAGAACAGAGGGTGAAGTTGGGTTTTTCTACAAAACAGTTGGATGTCTCATCTGGGGATGTTCTTTACAATGAATTAAACCTCTGGATGATCCTAACTTGTTTGTAATTCCAAAGCTGTAATTTCATGACACCCTCTAGTGACCAGGTTAAGAGTATTAAACAACAGTTTAAAAAAAATCGAGGAACATAAAATTTGTTTTTTTTCTGTTATCTCAGAGTATTGTTTCAGGGTGAAGTTTTTCCTCAGTACTTTAATTTACTAGAAAAATTGAAGTACATTTGTTAAACCCCTTTGGGCTGCAATTCATAGCCATTTGATCTTTTTCTTTACTCCAATTACTACTTCTGACCATGAATGCTTATATTGCTTAAAAAAATGCAAAACAAATATGAACTTATTTTGATGGTGAAGTGTCTGGAACAAAAATATTATAGTTAGAATTTTTCCAAATATTTTATTTGATTAAACACCATGGAGTTATGCGGGAACTGGAATGCAATATGAAGAGATGAGCTTTCCAGGTGTAGCAGGGAATTAATGTCACAACTTTGTAATTGAGTTTTTTGAATACAAACACAAATTTTGTGAAATCGGTAGCAATTTGCCAGAACTGTGATGACAGCATCTAATTTTATTATTACCCCAACTATTATTATTATTGTCAGAGTTAAGCTTTACCCATCTGCTTTCTTCTGTGCACACATTAAGAACAAGGGCCACTCTGGGACTTCACTGCAGAGTTCAGGCATAGCAAAGCAGTGTAGCTACATGGATCAGACATGAGGAAGAATCACTGCTGAGATGAGACAGACACCTGGGATTAGTGATAGGCAGAGTCACTAAAATCCACCATAGTATTGACACCTCTTAAAAAGGAGCACCATCAGTTGAAAAATTACAGAATACCATTATGTTGTTCTGAACATGGTTGTCCTGAAATTGAAGGTGGGCCTGAGATCTGGTTGGTTCTGGTCTCCACCTGGATGAGTTTCTTCCTCTCCCAGTTCTCCACCATGTTTTTTACCTGCTCCCCTCTTGGTGCCTTCAAAAGTAAACGCCCCACCACCCACCCAGTGTCACTTCCATAGCAGCTCAGCTCTGTGCTGCTTCCCAGCCATCTTCCTGACACCTTGTTGGTTTCCTAAGGAGGCTTTATGGTTTACAGTGCCCCTAGGTTTCCCCTGTGGAGACAATGTCGTGTCCCTCTTAGCTTCCAAATGCACAAGAAGGGGGACCCACATACTAGTTAAGATCATAGAATGGTTTGGGTTAGAAGATCATCTAGTTCCAACCCCCTGCCATGGGCTGAGATGCCTTCCAATAGACCAGGTTTCTCAAAGACCTATCCAACCTAGTCTTGAACACTTCCAGGGATGGGGCATCCACAACCTCTCTGGGCAACCTGTTCCAGTGCCTCATTTCCTTTTGAAAGCTGGAAGGTTGAAAGCTTTTTAGGGAGAAATATGAAGGAAACATCTTACACATATGGGGATAAATATAATCATATATATCAGCAGAAAGCATCTGCAAATGAAAGAAGAGAAGGAAAGCTGAGTGTGATTAGCAGAAGTTTGCATAGCAAGCAAAAGGTGAAGGTGCAGATATATAGTTATTAAACTGTAACCCTGACACTATCTGCAGCACTACTAAAATCTATAATCTGTTAACAAGCCTTATGTTAAATTGCAAAGATAACTCTATGGCTGCATTTTGTTGTTTTCTGCACATTAGACATGGTGTTGATGTCAGATTTTCCCCTGGACTAGTAGTATGTCCAATAGAAGGCTACAGGGGCATATTTGCCTTATGCAATATGTTCAAAAGGCCTTTCTTAGCTTTTCAGATAAATTCTCTGTTGCTTTCCTCTTTGCTTGATCTTTGATATTTACCTGATTCTTTGAAATGTATCCAGTTCTTCCTACTGGTAAACTACACACAGAGTAACACAGACACGCATTCCTATGGAGGGCCTTATGATATGCTGGGAATCTGATCTCCACTGTGCCAGCAGGGCAGAAAGATCTTGTGTTCTGGGCCTTGACCTGCAGCTCTGGAGATCTGCATTTAATTTTCAGCTCTGCCACATACTTCCCAAGTGACCTTGTGCAAGTCATTTATTCTCTCAGCATTTAATTATCACCCTTTTGCAGATGAGAAGTTGACACTTCTCTGCCTTCCAGAGAGTAATGTGAGGATAAATTCATCAACCTTCATGTTCTGCTGTGAACAATGGGAGTTCACTGAGGCAAAGCAAAGTCCAACGAGGAGATGAGGCAGCATAGGGAAACAAAGCAAGGATGAAGCCCATTTTAGCTAGTTAGAGAGCTATCCTGTATGAACAGAGTATATGATGTCTTGCAGGATTTTACATCAATCCTCTGAGTGTGCAGTGCTATGACCTCAGTATCCTAGCCTTCAGTATAGTGACAAACTGGAGGATGAGGAGGAACACGAGGTTCCTTGCTGTCTTTTAGTACGCAGTTATCAGATGGCTCATTCGCTGACGTCACTTTTTTTATGGAGCTCCTGCCTTTTCATTTCTGTAGCTGATCTGAGTCAAGCATGGAAAATGGTCATTTACTGAGATTATGGAATATGTGTTGTATTGCAAATAGGACAAAAAGATGCAAAGCATAAAAATATTCTCTTGGAGAGAGAATGTTCTATGTCAGTCAGTGTTGTCATTGTGATTTATTGTCCTAGAACAGTTGAGCATTTCTACTCTCACTGCTAAAGGACTTCAATTGTATGGGACGTTTCCAGCATTTCCTAAGGAGATGGCTTTCATTTGTACAGGTGACAGTGGTGGGTCTGGATCACATGAACACATATCTTGACCTAACTGCTACTTCTTCCTTTGTAGCTGATCCTGTAAGTAATTCAAACTTGTTGCTTGGTTTTTTGCAGCTGTTGCTCTGTCAGTGTTCAGAAGGGTGGATTTCAAGAGCCTTTCTCATCTTGTTCCTTCAAGAGCAGATGAGCATCCTTCTGTGTAGCTAGAGCATGAACTCAACCTTGGCATTTGGGATGCCAAGTTACATATGGCAGTTGATCTCTTTTCAGGTATGGATGAAGGCAATTACTTGCTCCCAGTATAGCAAAATACTGTCAGACAGCTCTGGTCTAATTTTTGTTTTGTTCTCCACAGCTTTTATTAAAGCTAAATGGAGCTGCAGGTTTTGAGCACTTTGGAATGTCATGTTACAAGATAGACCTCTCTTCTGTTAATGGAGGTTACTGACTGTGTGGATGGAAGACATTTGTAATAACTAGACTTCATTATTTTTATTATTTTTTCAGGTACTGAAAAACTACCTTTCCCACTTGCTACTTAATATTAGATTAAAAAAAAAAAAAGGTCTTAGTAATTTATTTAACTTCAGAATGAAGTTCTATTGTTTTGAAGCTTCCAGGAAATACAGGTAGTCTGATTGGATGTGTGCATTTTGGGATCTTTTGGAAGCCTTCTGCTTGTGAATCTCAGGATTTTATAAGATGATATTGTGTCTTGGCTAGCAGGGTCCAAGACAAGTGAAAAAGGGAATAGAGACTTGGGGGCCTAGATTTTTGAATTTTCAAGTGGCTAACTATTCCAGTTTGAATAAGATGTCTGTGTATCCTTAGGATGTGAGATCTAGTTGGGGGAAGCAAGTTTGTGTTTTGGGATTTTTTTCCCTTCTGTCCCAACAACATTTTAAAAATCTCATTCCCAGCATTTCTAGTGTTAGGAAGCATTCCAGGAAAATCAAGCAGCCTGTGAGAAGTAGATACTGCCTTTGCTGCATCTTCACCCTAGCTTCTCTGGAGTAATGTTGTAGGGGTATAAAACATGTTTCCTGTTAGCAGGAAATGTGCTGTAAAGAATGAAGCCTAAGTAAATATACAATAAAGAGATGTATAAAAGTGTCTGTGAGAGACAATTCATGGCTCTGTTAGTATCACAAGGAGATTTTTTTCTGGGTTTCTAAAGGCCCTTGCTGTAGTACAGGGAATGACTGTAATGCAAAACTTTAAACACCATGCTGAAAACAAACAGCCAGCATGTTCTCAGCCTTTTCAGCATCTGTTAAATAAGGAGTATAAAGAGGTGTGCTGTGGATATTAGGGGTTTGGCACACTCTTGATATTGCTGTCACTGGAAAAAGGTTATTTATAAAATGTGCTGTGGAGCAAATATGGAATTGCTGCTAATAGTGAAGCAGCCCTAGCAAAATGCGTTTGGAACTCACAGGAGGTATGAAAATGCAAGAAGACCTTTCATCAAAAGATTACAGAGTGGGAGATAAACAAAACCTTCCTCTTCCTGCAGTGTGTCAGGTCATATGGGTGGGTACAGCTGATACTTAGGCACACGTAACAAAACTTGGCAACAGGAAGTGAAGTCACATGCTTAGCAGAACCTTCAAGGGCACACTCAGGAGATGGAATGTAATTACTCAGTTTGGATTTTAGCCATGATACTGAGTTAGCCCTCAGAGCAAGTATGATTTTATTTATCTCTCTTCCCCATCCTGAGAGTTCCTAAGATTAGAGGTAGGCACTGAGGACCCTGTATTTAATTTTCTTGATAAGCTTTTTCTATTACTTGCATTCTTGCCTTACAAACATGAACAAATTTAGTCTAATATCACCTCTGTGAGGCTGGGAAGTATTTTCCCATCTGCTTTTTCATGCCTAGGAGTGGTCCCTGCGAGAAGTATAAGATTGGGACGGTTTGGTTTGTTCCTTGCATTGGGGATTACAGTTTGAGTTGCTGTCCTTTTTCACAAGGAAAGGGTGTAAATATCCAGGTTAGGAAACAATTGGTAATTTAATGAGCCTCAAAAGACTTGGTAGAAAACAGGGCATTTCCCCTCACTGCTGTCCTTGCTCATGATGAGTGCAGAATGAGGGGCCAATCACTGTATATTTCATGAACAAAATATCAAGTTTGTTCTTGTATAGTGTGTTGTATGTTAGGCAGCTGGCCTGTTCCCTCTTCCTTCTGGCTGACAGTAGGATTCTCTGATCAGGTAGGGTTTCCTGTTATGTGAGCTCTACCAGTGGAGTGCACATGGGAAGCCTGTGCTTCCTTTCACTCAAGTGTTCCTTTTGATGAAAGAGATGAGATATTGTGCTGGTGTTGGCTAGGGTAGAGTTAATTTTCTTCACAGTGGCTAGTATCTATGTTTTGGCTAGGGTCTATATTTTGGATTTTTGCTGGACACAGGGTTGATAATATAGAGACCTTTTTGTTATTGCTGAGCAGGACTTAAAGAGAACCAAGGCCTTTTCTGCTTTCCGTACTGCCATGCTGACATGGAAGTTGGGGTTGCATGGGAGGTCGGGAGGAGACACAGCTGGGACAGGTGACTCAAACTGACCAAAGGGATGGTCCATACTATGTGATATCATGCTCAGCATATAAAGTCGGAGGACCCCATGGGTGGGAAAATGAGCAAGCAATTGCATGGGACTTGGCTGTTGGCTGGGGTGAAATCACAGCACATGTGTTTTGACCCCATTTTTCAGGCAATTTCCTGAAGAACAGCTGCACAGTGCTCTGAGGCCTGCTGCTGGCCCAGGCCCCTGTTAGCATAGAAATATCTAGATAGCTGGTGACCCAGAATAAAAATATAAAGGCAGGTAAGTTGGGGGCAGCGAGATCCCTCTCTGTTCTCCCATCCAAGTAATATTTTTATTTATTTATTTATTTATTTTGCAATCCATGGTGTGCAGCTATTCCTCTTGCCTTTCCCTGCCGTAGGAATAGATGAGTGATGGACTGCTTTAAGTAAGGCCATGCTTCAGGGTGCAGAAAGCTGAGTTCAAAGCGCTCCACAGATGACGTTTGTACACAGAAAGATTTAGACCCATGCAGGCACAGAACTGTGCTTGTGACTTAAGCATAAGAAAAGATGTCCATATGGTGAAGTCTGGCGAGATCACAGATCAATGTTAACCCGAGCCACCTCTCATCAGGGAGCGATCAGGCCAGTGAGTGACAGCAACAGGATCTAGACTCGTAGCTCAGGTTTGCGTGTTGAAATAATCCAAGGACACGCTGCAGTGATTGGCAGTGCAGCCACGCAGCCCGGCCCGCGTGTCACGTGGAGCAGGTTCCGTTCGTGGGGAGGGCACAGGTGAGAGCCCGCCTGTCCCGGTGCGGCCGCGGCGCGGGCAGCGCCGGCGGGTTTCAGCACCGCGGAGAGCGGCACCGCGCCGCCATCGGCCCCGCCACCGCGGGAGTGCGTGCGGGGCTTTATAAAGTCTTCGTATGCCAAGCGCTTGAAGAGGACTGTTTGAAGAGAATTGGGAAAAAAAAAAATTCGAAGTTTTTTTCACAAGAGCACTCAGCAAAATGTCACGTTTAACAGTCAGTACTTGGGCAACACTTTTCATGCAAGGGTCTCCATGCACTTTGTGAATATTAATGAAGCTAGCTGCAAAATCAATCATGCCTTTATAATGTAGGTAGGTTTCATTATCCTTGTCTAGTTGAGGAAACTGAGGCAGACAAGGATAATGTATTTTGTCTCAGCCAGTATTGAACACAGGAAATAAAGACTATGACCTTTACGCTCTCACTAATACAAAACCATAAAACTTCTATAGCTTTTCCTGTTTTTGGCTGTAAGAGATGTACTTCCTTCTCTAAATTACAATTCTTCACTTAACTGATCTAGACTGGCAAGCTTATGGCAAAGGATTTTCCAGCTAGCCTAATTATAGCAATTCTCACCTGCTGCCCTTCTATTTCTTGAGGATTGATGTTGTTTTTAAAAAGAAAGAGAGTCACTAGCCTTATTTCAAATGCACATCGGTACATGTGTTTGTTATTCCTGAAAATGTTAATTTGAAGCAAAAACTTGCCCCTTTGATACTTAGAAATAGATAAATATATGTGCTATTTTGCACTCAATTGTCAGGCATGTCCCATGCTGTTTTGTTGTTTTCCTGGACAGGTGGAGACAGAGCAGTTAGGCACTGACGGCTTCTGTCTGGTGAGCTGGCTCTTGATTGACTGATTAGCTTCTTTGTATGGCAGGCGCTTCTCTCAGCTCCATCATTAAAGATGCATCATAACCCCTTACAAGAGCTTTTTTTTTTTTTCCCTGACACAGAGGGAGAGGGAAGGAGTAATTTTGAATGTTTTACAGTAGGGAAACTTTTGTTAATATGGAAGGTCTTTAGAGATGGGATGTAGCCAGACTTCTGGCTTTAAAGCTTTGAAAAAGAAAGCTAAAAAAAATGACAGTCAGGACAGTAACTCATCAATCCTCAAAAGATTTTTCAGGTATAGTATTCTATTATTTTTGTTTATAGAAATTATCTTTAGTATTAAATAGCTAACCTTTGTAAAATACATGGGAAGGAGTTGGAGAGGTGCATTTCATTTTACAATTGGAAAAAATGAGGTATGGAGAAGGAGACTCACAGACATGGTTGCAGGTGTCTGGACTGTCAAGTTACAGCTCTCAGTCCTTTCAGTTTGACAGCAAACCATGGTTTCTTCCAGAGGCAGGAGGCAAGAGCCAGGAGATGACCCCAATTCTCTGTTAGTGCTGGTATCTGATGTAGCTTCTTTCCATTTTGCTGTTGATAATGCTATCCCTTATCTAATATGTTTTCTGCCTGGAGAAGCGATACTGGTGTGTGTAACTGTGAACTTAAATTGATAGGATAGTATAACTTTGTTGTTTCTTTATAAGATAACTTTTCACAGGTCAGCTTGCATCACTTTGGAAGGAACTTAAACAAAGGAAAACCGAAAAAAGGCACCTCGTATTCTGCAGCAAGCATTTACATGGGAAATTGTAACTCTTGTTTAACAAGATTTCTGAAGTTACACTGATATGCCCAGTAAAGCTCTGTCTCAGACAAAACATAGAATAATTTACTTCTGATGCAGCACTTTCTGCATCGTTCTTGCAGATATTGTGATGAACTCAGAGATGACATGACCACTTCTGCAGTGATGATCAGCAATGTCACAAGCAGACTGAGCTTTAGTTCTCAGATTTTGGCTGGTAAAAAAGGACAAGATAATCAATGTCTTCTGTCTGCAGGCCAGTATCTTAACA